AAAGCAATTTTGCAATAATTTTGAAATAAATCTTTTAATTTTATAATTTTGTAAAAAATCCTAAAAAAATTAAAAAGTTAAGCAAAAAGTAAGTAAAATAAAAAATAAAAATAAAAGTAAAAAAATAACTCTATCAGGCAGATATTTGGGAATAGGCAGAGCTCAGGCAGATTATCTAATATCCGCAAGATGTACAGAATCTGCATTGAAAAATTCTGCTCAAAAGACCTGTCCAAGTCGTTTTGCTGCATGACAAAACAGTATAACTGTGTTAATGATTAGTAAAGCAATTTGTGGTAAGTAAACAAAGTAAATCAATGTAATACTTTTAGATGAATTTTGTTAGTTCTGCGCCATTAAAGTGGCTTTTTTTTTCTTATTCATTATAGAGGGAAGGGAGCATTGTGAAGCTTTTGCGTTTTACGTCATCGGGTAGTGCAGAAATCCATCGTCTATTGATATATCATTGAAGCGATGCCCCGCAGAATTGCGGTCTTTTTGACCAACTAGGAGCAAATGGTGTATGTCCAAACACACTTGGTGATGATGTATGCAACGCGTTAGCAGCCGTAATTTGCACCGATGACAAGGCGAAGAATTCTTGTCAAAAAACATGCGGACTGAATTCTTGCTTAGGTTATCACTTTTAAATTTTTGCTAATAGTCGATAAACTAAAGCTTAAAAAAAACAGGTTGAGTAACTCGAATACCTTAAAGCTTTCGTAATCTAATGATTCTTAAGTTTGGTACAAAATCTCCATGTTGCGACCCGACATTCCCTACCTTTCAACGAGCAAATGAGTCTCGTACTATTCATTTAAATACATGATTATTTCATCACGTAAAACACGTAAAACTTAAACCACTTGTTTGTGGTGATTTATGCATTTCAGCAAATCAAAATAGAACAATTGAGCGACCAACTTGTCGAGACGAACGAAAATGCTCAGATTATACGTCTCTATGCACCATAGAACCCTATGCAAGTGCGATGAGAACTAAATGCAGATTAACTTGTGGCTATTGTTCTCCGTGAAAATGGTTTTAAGCGACAATTATTATTCATTTTCATTGCAATTTAATTTCGTTATTTTAAATATTATGCGATATTTAATAGTTTCAGTAAAATTTTTTATTGCAAATTTTCTTGCATTAATCAGAATTTCACATAATCGCTTATGCTGTGGCACCATGAAGAGTAAGTCAGATCTTTCTTTCAGATGGTGCTGTCATGGCAATAGTACGAAATATTTAATTTAATAAACTCATAGATTATGGAATTCAGTTTGGACATATTAATCAGCAGTTTTGATTTCATACTTGGCATTTGGGAATAGTAAATTTGTCGCAAAAATCCGCAACAACTACCTTGAAGTAACTCTGTGGTGAATGGATTTCACTCTACGAGTCAGGGATGGTGCTTAAACCAAAGATGTCGCGAATTTCCAGAGCACAAAGGAAAAAGAGAGGATGAACTGACTTCATTTCCGATTCGATAGTTGATTTTTACCAAATCATCTTTAAAAATTACTATCATTTGTATTGCTAAATATAAACTCAAAAAAATCAAAAAATCTAAATATTCAAAAACAATTTGCTATTCTTTTATATTTTCGCTTTGTAGCAATTTTATAAAATTTTTTTTACAGTAATTTTGATAAAATAAAAGTTTGGAAAAAAAAGAAACATAAAATTTTTTAAAATTTTACAGAAAATTCAAGCAAAATTTACTTCGACGTTTCTTTTATAGTTTCATAGTTCGAGTTTGATAAATAAGAAATTAAACAGTGAGAATACAGAAAAATATTTAATCGAAAACCGAATTGTACCAGTTGAAGGATTTTGATCGTTTGCCGTAATTGGCCTGCATTGTACATAATGGCCAGAAGAAGAGAAAGAGTTGATATCTCTATATCTACTTAGAAAAACCGGACGCTCCAGGCTTTTATTTTGATTCACACCATAATACATTTACATCCAACTGAAAATGATAAAGAAAAATGATGTGATAATTTGCTGACATCGAATGGCGTGGAATACAATGAATTCAAAGTGAGAAGCTATAAATGGTGAACAAATAATAACAGAAACAAAAGGCTATATAAAGGTAATCTACCCACATATCTTCCAACAAAGACAGTGAAATGAGCATAAAAGCATCTGCATTACGCTAATACTTCATTCCCATATCTTTTCACTTGAAATGTTGTACCATTTCTACTGGATTTGCCTCATTTATGGCGCAAAAGGTGCCGTCGACGTGGCAATAGTTGACTGCAACAAAGGTGTTCCAGATGGAGGAGGAATGATTCACCAACGACCAACGGTCCATCCACAACTTTGTGCACGCATCGACATACCTGCGTGTATTGCAATATTTGATATCAAGGGCAATCCAGAAGATGAAAACAGTATTGCTGCGACGATCCAATCTCATTCAAATCCGTAAGTATTTGTTTTCCTTACATCTCAGATCCTAATCTGGGACGTCGATCTTTTAATTTAGATTAAAATATTTTAAAAATACAAGACTGTACAAAGTCTAATTCAGAAACGTAGATTACATGATACCGGCATCATGCACGGATGCTGCATTGAAAAGTTTCGCTCAAAACACCTGTCCAAGTCGTTGTGCATTTTGCTGTATGACAAAACAGTATAATTGTGTTAATGGTAAGCAAATGCTTAAAAGTTTAAAATGAATTTAAGTTATTGTCTTAAATTATTTTTTTATTAATTATTATATATTTATATAAATTTATTTACATAAATATATAAATATAAATATGAATATATTTATATAAATTTTATCGTTAATATTTTTGCGAGATGAAAAAGTTTTTTTTTTCTTCTTCATTCATTACAGAAGTAGGCGCGCATTGTGAAGCTTTTACGTTGGATATGTGCGGAAATCCATCGCTTACTGATTTATCACTAAGGCGATACCAGCAGAAATGCAGTCTTTGGAGCGAATGGTATGTGCCCAAACACACTTGGCGATGATATATGCAACGCGTTAGCAGCACCGTAATTTGCACCGATGATAAGGCGAAGAATTCTTGTCAAAAAATATGCAGATTGAATTCTTTCTTAGGTTTATTTATAATTTCTACTATTATTAGTCAATAAAGTGAAAGGCTAGAAAGGTAATTTGAATGACTTCTTAAATTCAAACTTCTTAAAGTTTTCATTATTTAATGGTTACTACACTTGGCACAGAATCTCGAAAACGCCTCTGTGATCGCGAAACGTGTCTTCTATCTTATTTTCAGCAATATAATGCTAATGTTAAGGAGCAAACATGGTTCTTATAGTATTTATTTAAAACTTTATTATTTCAACATTTATGCAACTCAAATCTTATTATGATTTTTGTAAATCAAGAAATTAAAAATCAAGATTTCAGTAAATCAAAATGAGACAATTGTGCGACCAATTTGCCGAGACGAACAAAGATGTTCTGATTATAGATCCGTATGCAGAATAGAACCTTTTGCACGTGAAATGAGAATTAAATTAACTTAACTTGTGGCTAAAATTCCCCGTAAAATTGGTTTTAATGAAATCGCGTTTCATTTTTATCAAAATTTTATTTATTTCCAAAAAAATGAAAAATTTAATGGTTCCAATAAAATTTTCGTATTGGAATATGACAGTTATCTTTTTAAATATTCAATATTTTTTAAAATATGGTGGTGGCCAAATACACGATCACTTGTTTAATGTACCTTAAGAAAGTGGCGTTAAGTCAAATGCAGCCAAAAGACTAAATTTTTGATTTTCATTTTGTAATTTTTGATTGTTTCTGATCACATTTTGAGAACTTGAAGGAAAAAGAGATAATTTCTGTGCACAACTTATATAATAAATTTAATTATAATTTAATTTTGCAAATTTCAAAAATAACATTTTATACAACAAATCCAAGCTGATAACTGATAAAATTTTAACTTTTTTAGTATTATTTAAATTTTTCAGTATTTTTTTAGTGTGCAATACTTTTATTTTTTTTTGCATTTTTTGTTGCATTTAACTGTGCATAAAGTTTATATTCATGAGTTGTCGAATTCAGACAAAAATCGCCTGGTGATTTTTTCCTTGATAAAATTACTATTTTCAATAACTATCTTCTTATCAGTTGATAAAATGCAAATTTCCAGCGGCAAAAGCTTTTTTTTATTTTTCACTTAAGGATCTATTTTTAAAACGGGGAAACAACTTTTACATTGGCTTTTAACGATCAAACTTTGAAGTTATAGAATAATTAGTATCAAAAAGTAAAAGAAAAGCCGTTCGTTTAATAATTAAAGTAGGTCGAATAATTGCTAAAAATGAAAAATAAATAAAAATTCAAATAAAAATTGTTTTGGTGCATATTTCATTTATAAATTATTTATTAATTAGATTATTTGTTACACATAAAAAATTATTTTATTTGCATTTTAAAATTCGAAGAGAATTTTAATCAATTTTATTTGCGCAAACTTCTCAAACTTTTTCAATTTTTCAAAATTCCTAATTTTTAAAAGAAGAATTCAACTATTCAACTATTCAACTATTCAAAAAGTATAATCGCAAAAATATACATAGTTTGCGCTAACGATGAATGGTTTGCATTAATGCACTGCTTGATGCCATAGAGTGAGAGTTCCACACATGTGATGGTTCGGTAAACTTATGGGTCAAAATCACTCAGGTAATCCAT